GGATCTAGAGCTTGAGAGTTATTATCCTTTGGTGGTGTACTTTCTTGATTTTTCGTATTTCCTGTATCTTTTTTTTGATGTTTATTCATTGTGGCAGGGCGTTTCACAGTCCACAGGTTTGACACTATTGACTGACTAAGATGTTGCTGTGGTTGCCAATTTGGTATGGCTACCTCAGTGACTGCTCAGTTGGCCAATAGTGCCTTGCGTCTGTGCTTGCTTCTGGTCTTGAGCCTCTCTGGGGAGCCACCTCTCTGGTCAGCTTGAACTCGGCCAGGCTGCTGGATGATGGGGCAATACTGCAGGGTGTGTGGTCTCTGCTGAGCTTCCACCTCCCGTGCTGGACTTCTCCCTGTTCTGTGCACTCTGTCCCCGGCTGCTGGGATGCGCCGAGGCACCACAGAGCGTGTGGTCTCTGCAGAGCTTCCCCTTCCCCTGCAGGTTGTTTCCCTGCTCTGTGCACACTAGGCCGGGCTTGGGATGGAGCCGAGTGGTTGCGGTGAACCCTACATGCTGCTGGGTCGCATGGCGGCGGCCCCTCACAGGGTGTGTGAACTCTATGGAGCTTCCCTTTCCCTTGCTGGATGTCTCTGTGCTCTGTACGCTTTGGGCCGGGCTGCTGGATCGTGCAGCAGCAGTGTGGTCCCTGTGGAGTTCCCGCCTCCCCTGATGGACGTCTCCCTTCTCCGAGCGCACTAGGCCAGGCTGGAAATGTAGCCGGGTGCCTGCGGTGAAGCCTACCTGCTGGAACACGCAGTGGCGGCCCCACAGGGTGTGTGGTTTCTGCGGAGCCTCTGCCTCCCTTGCCGGACTTCTCCCCACTCTGTGCGCACTGGGGTGGGCTGGGAATGGAGTAGGGTGGTGGCGGTGAAGCCTGTCTGCCAGATCGTGTGACAGCAGTCCCGCAGGGCATGTGGTCTCCGTGGAGCTGTTGCCTCCCCTGCTGGACGTCTCCCCTTTCCATATGCACTTGATCTTATGTTTTTAAAGTTTAAATCGGTTGATTTGTGGGAGGGAGTGATGCTAGGGACCGTCTATTCTGCCATCTTGACCGGAAGTGATGATTTTGATTTTAAAATAATATTCTAATATGCCATTCTTTGTAGTAATTACATGGCAGGGCCAGTTGTCAAGGATATTCTAGTTTCTGAGGCTGGGAAGTCCAAAGTCAGGGAACACATCTGGTAAGGGCCTTGGTGGTGGCGACATTGACAGCAAAGCATCACATTGCAGAAAAGGTGCAGCAGAGAAAGATTGCAGGTAGAATTTTGAGTATAATGGATTGTTAGGTCTGTATGCAATTACAAATTTTACTTCAATACGAACTTTCATCCTTACCATAACAGATGTCTAGTTTAGTCTTAAAATTGGTTTGGAGCTTTCTGTCAATTATTGTTCCCACAAAGAAAATTGGTTTAGGTAAGATGATATTTAGCTTTATTTCCATTTGCCTGTCTGCCTTGGTAGTAATGCAATTACACTGTAAATGTTTATTGAGCACTTAACCAAGAGTTCCTAGAGGAACTCATCTAGTTCAGAATTTGTTTTTTGAATGAAGGGGCCTCAACATACTGTTTCTTATTTTTTCTTTGAGTATTTGAAACACACACACACATACTTTTAAAACCTTAATAGATAATATGAGAGTTTAAAAAATCTTTGTTATCTTTTAAATACAAAGTAACTGCTGGCTTTGCCAAGAGACATATGAAAAAAAGTCTGTATTTAAACTGTTTATTCATCTCAATGTTTTCTTCCTTTTAATCAAAGTAATTTGTAGGGTCTGAGAGAAAGAGAATAGTAGGTTATCTACATATAGCTGCTTCTTCCATTTCTGCTCTGCTTCTGATTTGCTTTGTTCCTCTTAAACCCTTGGCCTTTATTAGCATTTATGAAATAAAGGTACTGTCATAATTGATACTTAATAGGCTTTAAAAGGCCTTCCGAGGAGAACCTTTGTATTTCACAGGGAACACGTCTTCTTAGGGGGAGACGTGTTTCTTTTTTCCTCATCTCAAATCTAGACCAAGTAGTATTTATGAGTTGTTAACTTTCAGCTCTTCTTACTTTATAATTTTATATTTTCAGCTGAAAAAAAAAGAAATCAAATGTTCTTGGAATTTCTGTATTCTTTTTTGAGGAAATGATGTTTAGATCTAAATCTCTACCCAGCGGTGCTTTCCAATAGAAACGGTACACAAAAGCTCCTTAGGCTTGCATCTGTATAGTGGAGCTCTGCATTAGAAACTGGTGTCATTTCTCCATTCTGGAACTGTTTAGATAAGGTTCTGCAATTGTTCCTAGCAGCTTTTGCCTTTGCAGATACCATTTGCTCATGGTATTTAGCAATCTGAGTCTAGAGAAGAATTACAGTAAGAGTTATCAAGAGCAACAGGTAAATTTATTAAAGAATACTAGATCAGCTTAGAACTTTCATATCAAAAGAGAAAATTCAAATGCATGCTGAACAGACATAATGTTTAGAAGTTTTTTGTAGAACTCGTCTTTTTTACGAGATGTTTTGGGGTTAGTGTCAAGGTTGAAATGGTGTCTCTTTTTTTGCCTACAATTCAACACAATTGAAAGAGTCTTTAAGTATTTATTAGTTCCAGTAATCAATTGATAAAAATAGTCATTGAAGTATATGTCTAAAAAATAAAATGGTGAATGCTAAGATGTATCTCCTCTTATCACTTTGATCCTGTTTTCAGTGAATACCCCATTCAGCGTTCAAAGAAAGATTCAGAAGGAGGAGAGATGGGAGTTGCGGGTTCTGTCAGCCTTCTGCAGAATGTCACGTAGTCTACCCAGCCCATTTCAAGTTTGGAATGGAGTCCAGATAAAAGGGGTGTCTGTATTTGTAGTTCCTTTGACCAAATGGTGAGAGTACTGATTGTTACAAAACTCCATAANTCTGTATTTAAACTGTTTATTCATCTCAATGTTTTCTTCCTTTTAATCAAAATAATTTGTAAGGGCTGAGAGAAAGAGAATAGTAGGTTAACTACATATAGCTGTTCTTCCATTTCTGCTCTGCTTCTGATTTGCTTTGTTCCTCTTAAACGCTTGACCTTTATTAGCATTTATGATGTCATAATTGATACTTAATAGGCTTTAAAAGGCCTTCCGAGGAGAACCTTCATATTTCACTAGGAACACGTCTTCATAGGGGGAGAGGTGTTACTTTTTTCCCCATCTCAAATCTAGACCAAGTAGTATTTATGAGTTGTTAACTTTCAGCTCTTCTTACTTTATAAGTTTATATTTTCAGCTGACAAAAAAGAAATCAAATGTTCCTGGAATTGCTGTATTCTTTTTTAAGGAAATGATGTTTAGATCTAAATCACTACCCAGTGGTGCTTTCCAATAGAAACGGTACACAAAAGCTCCTTAGGCTTGCATCTGTATAGTGGAGCTCTGCATTAGAAACTGGTGTCATTTCTCCATTCTGGAACTGTTTAGATAAGGTTCTGCAATTGTTCCTAGCAGCTTTTGCCTTTGCAGATACCATTTGCTCATGGTATTTAGCAATCTGAGTCTAGAGAAGAATTACAGTAAGAGTTATCAAGAGCAACAGGTAAATTTATTAAAGAATACTAGATCAGCTTAGAACTTTCATATCAAAAGAGAAAATTCAAATGCATGCTGAACAGACATAATGTTTACAAGTTTTTTGTAGAACTAGCCTTTTTTTATGAGATGTTTTGGGGATAGTTCAAGGTTGAAATGGTGTCTCTTTCTTTGCCTACAATTCAACAGAATTGAAAGAGTCTTTAAGTATTTATTAGTTCCAGTAATCAATTGATAAAAATAGTCATTGAAGTATATGTCTAAAAAATAAAATGGTGAATGCTAAGATGTATCTCCTCTTATCACTTTGATCCTGTTTTCAGTGAATACCCCATTCAGCGTTCAAAGAAAGATTCAGAAGGAGGAGAGATGGGAGTTGCGGGTTCTGTCAGCCTTCTGCAGAATGTCACGTTGTCTACCCAGCCCATTTCAAGTTTGGACTGGAGTCCAGATAAAAGGGGTCTCTGTATTTGTAGTTCCTTTGACCAAATGGTGAGAGTACTGATTGTTACAAAACTCCATAAAATTTGATCTGAAGACTTTGGACTTGAAGCCTTCCAGAGAGACACTCATAGAATCTAAGAGAAGTTCTGGGATCTTCTGACCCTCATGAACAAATTTGGATTTGGCTGAAGAAAAATGGCCACAGATGCAAATCTCCAGGCTAGTCTCCAGCCTCTCTGGGTGCATTCGGTGACCTAACTGCATGCTGGCTTGTGGGTGTTCATGTGGACACCACAACCTCCAGGGCCAGCTCTTTTCTTCTTCCATTTCTAATACAAAATCAATAGCTGCCTATATTTAAACATATTTTAAATTTGTTCTGCATCCTCAAAGTTCCATATTGTATCTTTACACTTATGTTTTAGTGTTTATGCTATTGCGGCTGGAATCACTCCATTGGGTCTAAAATAGATTGCCGTGGAAAAACTACTGTGAAGTAATCTTCATAAATGTATTTTGAGAGATTTCAGTGTCAGTACGTTTCTGCACGGTAAATTATTTTATAAAGTATCAAAATGGCACTGTCGGATTCGATTTTAGTAACTGTTTTCAGCAATGGAATTCATAAAATGAAATACTATGATTTGTGACGACCTCTTTTTACTTACAATATGGAAATGAACTGGTGAGACTTTTAATTATTGATTGTGGTAAGTGACGATGAGATATATATGATTGTAGGGGTTTTGTAGTTGTATTTTATTTTATTTTATTTATTTATTTATTTATTTATTTATTTTTATTTTGACAATATACAATGTAGTTATTTATTGAGTCCCATCACCAAAACGTCCCTCCCTCCTCCCTCTCCCTCCTCCCACCCAGATGTGTCCCTCCATTTTCTCGTTGTAAGAGCTTCAAAAAAAAAAAAAAAGTTGAGGTTGTTAAATC